AGAGATGTGTAACCCAATTGTTGAGTCTCTCATTGCTAGTGTTTGAGTATGTTGCCATGCTTCTAGGATCCTCTCTAGTGATCAGCTCAAGAAGCAAAATTCCAAAGCAATAGACATCCTCTTTAACAAAGCTTGATTCCCAAAACTCACTATGAACCTAGAAGCTTTCAGTTGAAGCAGTGCCATATGATTTTAGAAGCAATGCCTCTCCAAAGTTCGATAACTTGGGAACAAAGTTCTCATCAAGTAAGACACACTTGGAGCTAATGTCAAGATGGACAACATGAAAATAGCACTCTTGATGGAGCCAAACCAGGCCTCTTGCTACTCTAATTGCAATTTTAACCCTTAAGGGCCACTCCATGATTCTTGCCTCACCTTCTTTATGATGTAGCCAATCATAAAGACTACCTTTTGACATGTATTTGTAAACCAGAAGCCTTTCCTTTGAGTGTATGCAGAATCCGGGGAGGGGCACAAGGTTCCTATGCCTCAATCTACCTAGTTCTTCAATTCTGTTATGAAATGCTCATCAAATAGGTAAGTGTCATGTAATCTCTTCATTGCAACGAGCCATCTATTAGGTAGCACTGCCTTATAGGTTGTCCCCACCTGTCCAATTCCAATGATGTTTTCTTTGTTAAAATTGTTTGTTGCTTCACTGATTTCTGTATAACTCAATCTTGAAACTAGTTTCACCAGGATAAAAGTTTGTGATTAAGATCCAGTGTTCCAATATTAATACCAAATCATGCACAGAAATTAAAACTGAAAGTGAATTATGTGCTAGAGAGTTAAAGAGTGTACATCTTGGCTTTCTTCATGTAGAAGTTCCACATATGGCATTTCCTTCATCTGTTGAGCTCGCTTTCTTTTGTTTTTCTTTCGCAGTATCTTATTTAGCTGGAATTGCATTTGGACTTTACTCTTCTTCTTCTCTTGTGTCCATGGCACACATGGCACACAACAGGAGATAAAAATAGTGATAACTGAAAAAGGTGAAATTGCATAGCCAACAACCAAACCTTTTTTGAACAAATCACTTTCTGACATACTCTTGCAGGGATCCAAAGGGCTGCCACAAAGTACCGAATTATTAGCAAAGCTATCACTTGAAATATTACGTGTAAAATTAGGCACTGGACCATATGATAGATAATCGGCAACAGTAAAGGTCCTAATTCGAGAAAGCAGGCCAATTTCTGCTGGGATATGACCTGTTAGTTGATTGTGGTCAAGATTAAGAACATTCAGAAAAGTAATATTGGCTAAACTCTTCGGGATTTCACCTGAGAATTTGTTGGAAGAGAGTTTAAGTGTAGTTAAAAAAGGTAGGATTCTTGATATATCAGATGGAATTGGTCCAGAAAGCTCATTGTTTGAAAGGTCTAGCCCCGTTAAGAAATAGCAATCTCTTATTCCTCGTGGAAACTGGCCCTTCAGACTCATGTTGGATGATAGAATGTTCAGCACATTGTTCTCATCATAGTGCCAGCATTCAACCCCTGTAAACCTGCAGATGAAGCCCTCTGTATTGTTGCTGAAGTCCCACGTAGCATTGAGGTAACCATATGGGTCTTCCAGTGAGTCTTGAATAGATTTCAAGCAATTGATATCAGAGACACGGCCGATACTTACAGGGCTCAGCAATGACCAAAGCACTACCAAGATGGAAGGCATTCGCAAGTGTGAATGTACGGTAGACAAAGAAATAGAGATGGAACCTAGGGGCATCTAAGGGATGAGGGATGCAGACAATCACAAGGAAAATCAGATTGATTCTTGAAGCTCCTTAGGATAGACAAGAAATCTATGTGAAAGGCAATCAGATGGTCGTTTTCTTTTCATACCTAGCAGGAAAAGTATTAGGCAATTAGCATTAGGAGTTGGGATTTGGAAAGAAAAGCACCCAGTGCAGAAAAAAGCTGTTATGGAAACGCTACCCATAGAAAAAGAAAAGAATAAAAAAAAATAAAAAATAAAAAAAAAAAGTGAAGAAGAGCATCAGAATACAGCAAAATCTACTTTTAGTCCTTTACTTTATTAAGTTTAAAGGTTATAGTCCATTATCTTATATTATAACATATTTATCCTCTTACCTTGTTAGATTTATAAGTTTTAACCTCACACCTTATATTATGATATTTTTAGTCCCTCACGTATTAAAATTAAAGAAAATAACCCTTATTTTATAATATTTTGTTAATTCTATTAATTAACTGTTAATTGTTTTAACTAATTGTTAATTGATTATTAACTTACAAAAATTTTTTTAATTAATAGAGTTAACAGAATTAATTTTATAATATTTTATTAATTTTATTAATTAATTATTAGTTGATTGTTAGTTGATAAAAATTTATTTTTAGCTACAAAAATTAACAATCAGTATAAAATGAGAGTTTTTTTTTTTTAATAGATAAAAGATTAAAACTTATAAATCTAATAAAGTGATAAGTTAAAAATACCATAATGTAAAGTGAAATAATAAAACTTTTAAATTTAATAAAATGAAAAGTTAAAAGTAAGTTTTACCTCGGAACAATGCTACCTTTGCAAATATTAGCACAAGCCGACAAAATTTTGCTGCGAGTATTCTGGGCTTAAAAGGAGTGGGCTTATTGCTTAGTAGTTATTAGGCTGGGTTTCCTTGTTGTGAAACCGAGGGAAAACCACTGTGGGCCAGAAGTGAGTTGACTAAATCAAAATAAAATGACCGCATATGATATTACTGTTACTAACATGTATAAAAAATAGAGGTTGGTAATGATTAATCAACCAATATTCTCTCTCTCTCTTCCCCCCTTTTCTCTCCCTTCTCTCCTGCTTCTGCCCCTTTCTCCGGCACTCCGTTTGGTTTAGCTCGGAAGCCTTTGAGCTTCCGAGATTTTGATGCTTGAGTCGTCAGGCTTCTCGACCGCTCAAGCATGCTGGAGCCGCCTTGTGCTCCCTCCTCCGATGACCATTCCGGATTTGTCGGCTTTTGGGTCCCTTTTCGGTGACCTCTTTTGGTTTTTCTGTTTTTTCTTGTTGTTTTGTTTTTCTTTGTTCTTGTATAGTTTATATTTTTCATATCAGGCGACCCTCGGTTCTTTCCTATAGATCTTGGGAGGTGCTCGCTGATTTTTCAGATCTGGCCACCGCCGAATTGGATCTCTGCCGCGACATCCTGGAGATCTCGCGCCATCCTCTCCGAAGTAGATTGAAGGGTGTCCCCTGGATCGGTCGACCTCAAGTTGCTCGAGTGATTTCACCTCCCTTCCTCCCATGCATCGGGCCTACTCTGCTTTACTTCTTCAGTTTGTTCTTTTCTTTGTCTGTTACCCTTATCCTTTTGGATAAGGACTGATTGTAGATGCCGTATGGCAGTTTCCTAATGCATTGCTAATCCTTGTTTCTCAAAATAAAAAAAAAAATAGAGGTTGGTATTTT